TGGGTTCTAGAACCCCCTGCAAACCCCAAGTATCTCCCACCTCCAAGGGGTAATGGGAGGCTCCCGCCCCCACGAGGGGGCGCCCTGGGGTGGAGGTCCCTCCTCTGGTTAGGCAGGTCTGACGCCCCAGTTAATGATATGTTGGGGATCTCGCAGCCGCACGCAGGTTGGAGAGCTGCCGCGGTCCCCCCTCCCCCGGCCCCCACCCCAGAGCCGGAAAGCGTAGGGAGCGCCGGAACCCGGCCTCCAGAGGGACCTCGGGGGCTTGTCCTGCTACATTTCGGGGCCCCGAGTTCCACTATCCCCATTCCACTCCTAATTCTGCCTCGAGACCTAGAGGCTCGGTGGAGAAAGCAGCTGGAGGGCGTCAGGGATGGCCGCCCTTTCCAGAGCCCCAACAGTCCGAGTCTTGTCATTTCTACCCAGGACTCAGGCATCTGATACCCCAATTCTCCTCAAAGACTCAGGCTTCTGAGAACACCCAATTCGTGGGATTCAGGAGTCCCAGCTCCAGCGTCTCCCCGGGACCATGGCGTCCGAGCCCTCCATCCCAAGAACTCAGGCATCAGAGTTCCCTTTACTTTTGCCCAGTAAATATGAGTTCTTTCCTTCGAAGGACCCTGGCATCTGCGCACCCCCCCAATTCCACCCTGGGACTCGGCGTCCGAGTCCCCTCCCAGTCCTCCCAGGGACGCGGTGTCGGCCTCCTCCAGAGCCGCTGGACCCCAGGGGGGTGGAACTCACGGATCCCGGGGAGATCCTGGCACCGGGGGACTTCCTCCGGCTCCGGCTCCTGCTACGGGGAGCGCAGGACGGGGCGGGGCAGGCGCCGGGAACAGGTTAGACGACGTGACTCCGGCTGGAGGGAGGCGGGTCCCGGAGGGGAGGGGGAGTAGGGGTCGCCTCGAGCACCTTGGGACTTGTAGTCCTGGAGGGGCAGTACGCAGCCTGAGACGTTCCCATTGGGAATCATCCAAAGTCCATTTCACAGACAGAAAGGGCGAGGTCCGGAAGCCGAGGGCGACCGGACCACGTAGACAGAATCGACTTTAACCTCGCGGTGACTGAGGGAGACAGCCTCCTGAATCCCTGCCCCATCCCTCCAGGCTTAGTTTCCCCCTTCTAGAAAGATGTGGACGCCACCAAAGGGGTAGAAGGTTAGAGGCTGGGGAAGACTCACATGCCCTGCCCCTAAGGCGAGAAGAGAGCCTCGCTAAATCAGTATCCCCTCGAGTCTCTGAGCCTCGATCTCCCCGTCGGTAAAAAGGATGGGTTGGATCTTTACAGATTTTCCCAGCAACTGAGTCCAAAGTCGTAGGCTGGGACTACAATCCCCAGCAGCTTCCGCGATGGACGTCGGGCGGCTCCCCTCCTCGCGTCCTCTGGGAATTGTAGTTCGGAGCCCGCAGGGGCGGCGCCCGGGTGTCTCGCCCACGCTGGGGAACTGCCTGGTGATCCCCGGCTGAAGGAACGCGTCCCCTTCCCCTGACCCTCTTTCCGCTCTGGGTAGCCGCTCACACCCTGAGAAACGGGGACGCCCCAATTCTCGAATAGGATCCGAAATCACGGCAGAGGGGGCGGGAAGTGGCGCTGACACACCGGCCAGGAATGCAGTCGGGTCACCCTGTCTAGCCGCCGTCCTGCGGCTCCGCCCGCTGCCCCAAGCGGTGCGGTCTCTGTGGAAAGGGGCGTGGACGCGAACCCCAAATCTGTGTCCACGTGCCGCTATTTACACGCGCCCCCCCCACCCCGGCGGAGAAAGGGAGCTGATCAAGCCTTCTTCTCCCTCTCCCATCCTCAAAGCCTTCGGGAATGTCCCCCACGCACTAGACTAAGTCCTCGGGGGGGATCTATCTGTCTCATTTGGTCCACAAACCCCGCCCCTAGCCCGCACCGCCCCACGCGTGTTTAGCTCGAGTCTGGAGGCCCCGCCCCGAGGCCCACAGGCTCCTCCCCCAACGTTTCCCGCTCCCTAGGAGTTCAGAAGCCCCGCCCCTAAGCTGGTACTTCACGCCCTCCGGAGGAATTATCCCATTTCTCCATTTTCCCACTTGTCCCACTCAAGTTCTGAATTTCCCAGGCATCTGGGCCTCCCAAGAAGGGATTGTAACACTGAAAGCACGGCCCTGCCAACCTAGACTCTTACCTGTCTCTTTAAGAATCTCAGACCACTCGAGCTTCCTGTCTCTTTAAGAGTTGGGAGCTACCAATGTGGCTGCCCCTTTAAGGCGACGTTGGAGCAAATAATGTCTGGGAGATTGGGGGGTATACCCGTAGGGACCCGGTGAGGCTCTAACTCCTGCCAAGCAGCCAAGCAGCTGCTTTGGGGAGCATATTTTCGGGAAAAGACGTCTTCCTGGGTTATCTGCTCTGCACAAGTGGAAATTCTCCCCAGTTCTGCTCGGAGAGCGAGCGGGCCCTGAGCGACACCCCCGCGCTCCCGCACCACATGGGCGCTCCCGGATGAAGCCCCACCCCCACCCCGTTCCACGTGGTCAGCAGCGCCGCTCCCCGGCTCTTGGCGGCTAGGTCTGAGGGAGGTTTGGGTCCCGGCATGGCGGGGACCCCGTCCGGCGGTGAGTGGCATCCGGGCGGGCTGGCGGGGTGCAAAGAGTTGGCTGCCTGGAGGAGAAAGGGGCCCCCGGGGGCATGCGGACGGAAAGACGGACGTTCCCAGAGACAGGACCTGCGGAGAGAGTATTTCCCGCGAGGAAGGGACTTCGGTCTGAGGGAGGGTATGGGGTGGGGGAAACTACCGGTGGAGGGAAGGGCGCCCCCAGGAATTGGCTCGGTGGACATTGGGGTGCCTCTGGGGAACAGGCAGGAGAGAAGAGGCCGGGTGAGGGGATTGAGGCGCTCAGGAGGCCGAGACCAATGGGCCGAGACAATTAAAATCCTCCTGGAGGATTGGATCCGCGGGGAAGTGTCAACAGGCTCCCGTTTCCTCTTCTGCAGGTGCTGCTCTGTTCTCCTGTCCCCCCAACTTTACCGCGACGTCCCCAGCTTCAGAGCCCACTCGTTTCTCTTTGGAGGTGTTAAGGGATCCAGATACGGAACTGTGGCTTATCCAGGCTCCTATAGACTTCGCCCCAGACTGGTGAGTGGTCCCAGGCCACCTCCTGGGGAATACGCCCCACCGCAGTGGCTGAATTTGGGTGGAATTTAGAGGGGCTTTCCTCAGGCATTCAGGGCGCCTGGGTAGCTCAGTTGGTTAAGAGTCTGATTTTGGCTCAGGTCATGATCTCAGGGTCCTGGGATCAAGCCCGGTATCTGGCTCCCCACTCAGCGAGAGTTGGCTTCTCCCTCTTCCTCTGCCCCTCTCCCATGCTGGTGCTCCCTCTCTCTCAAATGGATGAATAAACCTTTTTTAAAAAATGCTGTTTCTCAGCTCCTTTCCTCCCTTTCACCATTGGAATCTGATGAAGCTTCTGCCTTCTTCTGCTTTCTCCTTTCAGCCTCAATGGGCGGCTAGTGCCTCTCTTGGGCTCCCGGATTGTGAAGGGCAAGTTGGCGGGCAAGCGGCACCGCTACCGGGTCCTCAGAAGCAGCGGCCCCCAGGCTGGAGAAGCAATCCTGCTGGCTCCCTCAGGGGAAGCGGGAGGCGGACTCACCTGTGCACCAGCCCCCCAGGGCAGCCTAAGGATCTTTGACGGTCCCCAAGAATCCCCGTCCGGGACCCTGCTGCAGCCCATCCCAGCAAGCCCCCCACCACAGATCCCCCCTGGCCTGAGGCCTCGGTTCTGTGCCTTTGGAGGTAGCCTCCCGGTAACAGGGCCTGGATCAGTCTTGGCACTGAGGTCACCAGCCTCAAGGAAGAGGAAGAAGAAGAGCCATATACCAGAGGCCTCAGTTCCCCAGGAGGCGGTGAATGGGCTTGGGGCCCTGGAGGTGGACACAGCTTTGGGGTCCCCAGGGGTGGATGTGGGGAAGAAGAAAAAAAAACAGGAGCTAAAACAACTAGAGGTGATGGAGCCCGTAGCAGCAGAACCCATGGCTGAGATGTCGGAGCCCCTGGGGGCACCGTTTCTGTCCACCACCAAGAAGAAGAAAAAGAAGCCCAAAGGGGCAGAAACGGTCGAACCAGAAGAGCAGACACCGGCGCCTGAAGAAAAGCCGGCGGAGCCGGAACTCACAATTAAAAGGGAGCCTCTGGAAGCGACAGTCTTCTCTCCCACCAGGAAGAGGAAGAGGCAGAAGGGGACAGAAGGGAGGGAGCCAGGGGAAGGGATGCCGGCCGAGTCTCCGCTGCAGCTGCGGCCACGGGAGGAAGCCAACCCGCTGCCATCCTCCAAGAAGAAGAAAAAAGAAAAGGGGTACAAAGTAATGATGGAGCCAGGGACCGAGGCGATAGAGCCGGAGATGGGCCCTCTGGAGCTCCCAGGGGGGGTGATGGAGCCTGAACTACCACACGAAGTTGAGCCTCAGGCTGAGGCAGCTCTGGAGTCCACCAAAAAGAGGAGGAAGACAGAGAAATGGCAAAACGCGGCGGGGGAGCCGGGGGCAGAGGTGGGGGAGCCTCAGGTGGAGCCTGAGCCACCAGGGGACCTTGAGCCGCAGCCATCCACCAAGAAGAAGAAGAAGAAAGAACGGTGCCACAAAGCAACGGAGCCAAGGGCCGAGATGAGTGACCCACAGGGGGAGGTGCTGGAGCTGCAGCTGCCAGATGAGGGGGAGCCTGAGGCCAGGGCAGATCTGGCGCCCACCAAGAAGAGGAAGAAGCGGGGCCAGGGGAGTGGGGTGCCAGAGACGGCATCCCAGGACGAGATGCCCGAGCCGCCGCTGAGTCTGGAGTCGGGGGAGGAGGTGGCTCCCGCAGGATGGGAGAAGAAGCGGAAGAAGCTACAGCAGGATCCTGTGTAGTCTCCTCCAGGGAAACTGAGGGCTGCAGTGAAGAAAAGCTGGAGGTGACCGCCTGGGCCAGCAGAGAGTGAGCGCAGAGGACTCCCCCACCCCCACCCCACCCCCGCTCCCGGTGACTGCCCCAGCATGCCAGCAGCAGCCTGAGCCAGAAAACGGCTTTATTATTACACCGAGGGCCTTCTTCACAGCTGCGGTCATCAGGGCACTTTCAAGAAGGGCTCGTGTAGGACATCAAACAGCCTCCGGGCCTGGGTGAGAGCAAGAAAGAAAGGAGGGGCGGGTCATTAAATGAGCCATCTGTTTGCTATATCCGCAGTAGGCTTTGCTTCTTTCCCTCTCAACCAGACAGGGCTCTGGGGGCCAGGAGAGAAAGAGCCGGATCTTGAATCTGTCCCAGACTTGCTGTGTGAGTTTGGGCTGTTCCCCACCTTCCCTGGGCCTCGGTCTTCCCCAGCTGTAGGAGAAGCACTGTGGGCCTTCCAAAACCTTGTTAGAGCTTTGGGATCTGAGGTCCCATTTATTTGGTGCTCCCTCCTGCCCCTGGCCCCTCAAGCCCATTTCCACAGCTCTTACCTTCTGGGGTCCCAGGCCCGGGCACAAAGCCAGATCTTCCCGCGATGCGGCCACAAGCTGTTCCAGAGACTGAGGAAGGTGGGAGTGAAGGGTCAGAGATGGGGAGCACGAGACTACCCTGCCCCAGCTGATCAGGGGTCTAGGAGATCCCTGGAAGGAGGTGAGGTCCTGTGGGAGGGCAGGGGAGGCAGGAAGGATGGGGAGAAGGGGGCAGTGAGGTGGAAGGAAACAGGTGTGTGTGGGGTGGGGGGTTCCTTGAAAAGGCAAGGGTTTCAAAATGCCATTGGGATAAGGGAATCATTCCTTACCCCAAAAGTAGTCAGAAGGGTCTGGCTGTCTGTTTTACTGACTGACTTCACTGTGGTCAGACATTCAGTCACCTGGAAGGGGAGGACAAGGCAGAGATGCATCATAAGAGAAATGACTGCGAGTGAGCCCGCAGGGCAGCACTGGGTCACCACTGTGTCCCCAGACTGCCTGCATGCAGGACATGCTCAATAAATGGCCTTTTTCTTTGATTAAAAGTTCATCTTAGTAGGGCGCCTGGGTGGCTCAGTTAAGCGTCTGCCTTCGGCTCAGGTCATGATCCCAGGGTCCTGGGATCGAGCCCCACATCACAGAGCCTGCTTCTCCTGCCTCTTGCTCCTCCCCACACTGTGCTCGCTCTCTCAAATAAATAAAATATTTAAATAAATAAATAAATAAGTTCATCTCAGAGTGGGCCCCAACTAGGTGAGAGGGTGTCAGTCACATGATGAGAAGATAAATGCCATTTCTCCTGAGTTGTTCTGCCCAGGGGAAGACCACAGGCTCTGAGTTCAAAACCAGGGCCCATTGCTTACTTCCTGTGAGGCCTGGGCATGGGAACTGACCCCTCTGGGCCTCTTTTCAGGCTAGTGGGGGGCCCTCATAGTACCCACCTCAGGGGTGGTGGTGGATGTCCACCATTACTCAGTCGTTGGAGCCCAGGTTAAACACTTCATTCAGCCAATACTCCCTGAGCACCCACTGAGTGCTGCGTGGTGCTGGGGACGCAATAGAGACGAAGCCCGGCCTGGCCCTCCTGGGGTTCCCAGTCCAGTGTGGGAGACAGATCAGCTCCTGACAGTGGTGACCCACATGGGCAGGGTGGGGGGGGGCACCCCAGCAGGGGCACTAGACCTGGCCTGGGGATCAGGGAGGGCTTCCTGGAGAAGGAGGCATCAGAGCTGAGATGTGAAAGATGGGATTAGGTGGGTAGTCGGGCAGAGGGAACAAAAAGGCACAAGCTTAGAGGAGTGAGCCAGGTCTGGGAGAAGTGACAGAATGCGAGGCCAGGGGCGGACGGGGCTGCTGGGCAGAATAGGCAGGGCCTTGTAGAGTGTGGTGAGAAGGCCAGGCTTTCCCTGAAGGCACTGGGGAGCCATGGGAGGGTTTTGAGCTGGGGAGGGCAGAATGAAGTTTATGCTTAGGAAGACCCCTCTAGCTGCCGTGTGAGTGAGAAAGGGGAGAGGGAGCTGAGGGTGGGATGGGGAGAAGCTGGATTCAAGCCCCAGGAAGGAGTTGGGGGAGGCCCAGGCGGGGAGGTGCGGTGCCCTCACCCGGGAGACGAAGTCCTGCTCCAGCTTCTCCATCAGGAGGTCCGCCGGCTTCTGCTCATAGGCCTTGTAGGTCTCCAGGTACCGCCCGGCCTCCTCAGGGCTGGGGTGAGAACATTCGGGTCAGCCAGGAGGAGGGGGGCATGTTTTAGATTCAGTTCATTATGACGCTAACTCTAATATAGAGAAAAAAATAAACTTTGCTCCTCTAAATGTCCCCTGGTGATAACCCAGGCCAGGCGCACCTTTGCTGGCTAAGGGGCAGAGCTTGAGAGCCTGACCCGTTGGCTTTAGGTTCCCCCTTCCCACCTGAGTGACCCCGGGGCCAGTGATTTTCTCTCTCTGGGCCTCAGTCTCCTCATCTGTAAAGTGGAGCGGATGGTAGAACTGGCTCCAAGCGCTTAGAACGGTGCTGGGGGCTCAGAGACCTGTTTAAGAAATGTGAGCTATTCTGGAAGCGAAGTGGGTATGTGGAGTTTGAGAAGGAGAAAAAACCAGAAACACTGTTATTCTTTTCCCAACCCCAGGAAGACAAATTTAGGAGGCATTCAGTTCCCACTGTCGGTTTTTAATCTAGCACGCCTTCGAGAGAAAGGCTGCGGGCGGGCAGGCGGGCAAGCTGACTGCTGAATCTTATAGCAGCTAACATGACCTGATGATCGCCATTAATTTTCACATCAGGCATGGGTTCTTCTGACATGTAACGGACTGCTTCAGAGGTAGGTGACATAACCAAATCTTAAAAAGGCTCTATCTGTGTGTGGAAGAAAGTAACTCAAGTTTATTGGCGCTGGGAAGAAACTGGCCTTTTTTGTTTGGGGAACTTGCGAAGAGTGAGTTGAGTCGAAGTAAATAAAGGATTCAGGGTTGAGGCATCTTGGCCTTCAGATCCTAGCTAATAAGCAGTGTTTTTTTGATTAAGTGACAGTTCATATTCTTGAAAGAAACATTCATTTTTCTAATTCTATTTTTTTTCCTTGTTAAATGGGCTTTGCGGCTTTTCACTGCAGCAGGATTATTGTTATGGTTCTTAATAATTTGTTCAGGACCCTCAGGTTAGCACGCTGTGTCCGGTTCTAGAATTTGCTTTCATTTTTGCACTCTGCAATATAAGCAGGATGTCTTTCCATGTCAGCAGAAGGAGCTTGACCTCTTTTATTTAACGGTTGCAAAACATTCCATGATTTGGAATGTAAAGACATAGGAAACATTCCCTCTTGTGGGGGTCTAGCTGCATGCCAGGCGCTGCTCTAACTCATCATGCTCAGAAGCTTCCAGAACCGAGAGCTCCTATAAGGCACTTATTATTTTCAAACCATTATACAGAGGGGGAAGCAGATCAGCGGGGTGGAGTCACTTGCCCAAAATTACACAGCTGGCTAGGAGAAACAGCACCCTTAACTTTACATGATGCTACTTCCCACAAAACAGAGTAATGTTTACACTTGCTTTTGTTTTAATATACATCTAAGACGGGGGCGCTCGGCTGGCTCCATTGGTAGAGTATGCGACTCTTGATCTCTCGGGGTCGTGAGTTCAAGGTCGTGACACGGCCTGGCTGCCTGATGGAATATTACACAGCTGGGAAAGAATGTGCATCCAGACAATGGGATATTCAGCAGTAAGAAGTGAGCTACCAAACCATGAGAAGGCATGGAGGAACCTTAGAAGCATATTGCTAAGTGAGAGAAGCCAATCTGAAAAGGCTTCCGTGAGGTAAGAGGAAACTTCTACGGTCTCTGCCCCTGGTTCCCAGCACAGAGCTCCAGAGACCCTTGTACATTCCTCAGTGAAAAGAGCAGTAGGAACATCTTTGTTCTATTTTTTTTTTTTTAAAGATTTTATTTATTTGAGAGAGTGAGTGACTGGGGTAGGGGAAGAGGGAGAAGCAGACTCCCCGCTGAGCAGGGAGCCCAATGCAAGACTCGATCCCAGGACCACAGAATCACGACCTGAGCTGAAGGCAGATGCTTAACCAACTGAGCCACCCAGGCGTCCCCATATCTGTTCTATTGAGATGACTCTGGGTGGGCTCCTGGATGGGAGCTGGATGGGGGCTGGTCACCAGAACTGATCAGAAGCTTGGGATTTTCAGCCCCACCCATGTAGGGGCTGGAAATGGACTAACAGTTGACTGTGCCATAAAATCCCAATACCAGGGGGTTCAGAGCTTCCAGATGGGCAAACACGTCAACACGGGGAGGGTCACGCACCCCAATTCCACAGGGACAGAAGCTCCTGCGCTCAGGACCCTTCTGTACATCTCATCCTATATCTCTCACCATCTTGATGTTGATTCTTACCTTTTAACAAATTCTTTACTAAACCAATAAATGTGTTACCCTGAGTTCTGTGAGCCACTCTAGCAAACCGAACCCGAGGCGGGGGGTGGGGGTGGGGGTCCCTGGAAGCGGGCTGGTCAGAAGTACAAGCTGGGCTTGTGACAGGCGACTGAAGTCGGGGGCGATCTTGGACTGAGCCCTTCACCTATGGGATCTGATGCCATCTCCGGGCAGACGGCGTCAGAACTGGCGTTAAATCATAGGACACCCGGCGGGTGTTGCAGAGAACGGCTGGGCGGGGAAAAAGCTTGACACATCTGGTGGCCAGAAGTGAAGTGTTTTGTACGAGTAGTAAAAGCAACACAGGAAAAAGACCCACATTAGGGAAGAACTGGGTTGGTTTTTTTTCTACACACGAGGACAATACTCGTATTCTATACTATATATATGTATATTCCAACTATATGATATCCTGAAAAAGGCAAAACTATGGAGACTAAAAGGATGAGGGGTTTGGGGGTGGGAGGGATGAAATGAGTAGAGCACAGGGGAATCTTTAGGGCAGTGCACCTATTCTGTGTGGTACAGTAATTATGGACACATACCGACCCACAAAATGTACAACACAGAGCGTGAACCCTGATGTAAGCTATGGGCTTTGGTTAATATATCGATACTGGATGGGGCGCCTGGGTGGCTCAGTTGGTTAAGCATCTGCCTTCGGTTCAGGTCATGATCCCAGAGTCCTGGGATCGAGTCTTGCATCTGGCTCCCTGCTCGGCCGGGTACCTGCTTTTTCCTCTCCCTCTGCTGCTCCCCCGCTCTCTCTTAAATAAATAAAATCTTTAAAAGTAAAAATATATATATATATATATATATCAATATTGGCTCATGAGTTGTAACAAATGTACCACACGAATTCATACAAGATATAAATAATAGGAGAAAACACATTCAGGGGGAGAGAGGCTGTGTGGCAACTCTCTGCACTTCCTGATGACTCTCTATAAACTGAAAACTGCTCTAAAAAATTAATATTTTTAGGGGTGCCTGGGTGGCTCAGTCGATTAAGAGTCTGCTTTCTGCTCGGTCATGATCCCGGGGTCCTGGGATTGAGTCCTGCATCGGGCTCCCTGCTCTGCGGGGAGCCTGCTTCTCCCTCTCTCCCCGCTCATGCTCTCTCTCTCTCTCAAATAAATAAATAAAATCTTTAAAAAAAAATTAATATTTTTAAAAATGTGAACACTATATCGGGATACTACACAGCCATAAAAAAAGAAGGTGGCTGTTCTCTATACTGATAGAGAAAAAAAACTCCGGGGTGGGTGGGGGGCGCCTGGAAGGCTCAGTCGGTTAAGCATCTGCCTTCGGCTCAGGTCATGATCCCAGGGTCCTGGGATCGAGCCCTGCATCGGGGCTTCTCCCTCTCCCTCTGCCTGCCGCTCCCCCATGCTTGTGCTTGCGCTCGCTTTCTTCATCAAATAAAATCTTTAAAAAAAAAAAAAAGCGAAGAAAAGACTTCCAGGTGACGACACGACAGTGCAAGGCACAGAACAGCAAACACACATATATGTCTATGTCGCCACCTACAAATATGCCGTGTATATCCCATATACACGTATGTATATATGTATGCACACAAACCGCTTTCGTATCGCTTCTGATTTTAGAACTACATGAACACGCCATTTATTTAACAAAGGAAAGTCTAACCAGTCTATATTCGGACGAAAGCCAGAAGCGGAGAGAGTAAATCCCACCCCCCCCAGCCCCATCACTGCCGACCTCATACCCTCCCCAGAGGTCAACGCTGTCCAGGGCCTGGAGCCTTTGTAGCCCTTTCTAGTTTATCTACATACGTGTCTGTTCAGAAACACAGCTCCCTTTCCTCCCTTCTATCTATAAATAAAAATATGGTACTGTTTGGTTCTGCAACTCTGGTTCCCACCCTCTGATGTGCAGTGATGGCCCACGTCATCGCGGATTTTGGACATCTGCACACGCAAGCAGGGCTAATCCTGCTGCGGGAATGTCTGCATTGAAGAGCGGTGTCTATTTTGTGTAAATAGCCAATCAAGTCTCCCACCAACCAAACGCGCAGGTGCCCGTTTCATGCTATCCATCTGAGACGTTTTCACCAAATTTACGGGAGAAAGACGGCACCTCATTTTTTAAAATTTACTTTTTTCGGGCGCCTGGGTGGCTCAGTTGGTTAAACGACTGCCTTCGGCTCAGGTCATGATCCTGGAGTCCCGGGGTCGAGTCCCGCATCGGGCTCCCTGCTTGGCGGGGAGTCTGCTTCTCCCTCTGACCCTCCTCCCTCTCATGCTCTCTGTCTCTCATTCTCTCTCTCTCAAATAAATAAATAAAATCTTTAAAAAAAAAAAAATTTACTTTTTTCGGGCGCCTGGGTGACTCAGTCGGTTAAGCGTCTGCCTTCAGCTCAGGTCATGATCTCAGGGTCCTGGGATCAAGCCCCGCATCGGGCTCCCTGCTCAGCAGAGAGTCTGCTTCTCCCTCTGCCTCTGCCCCTCCCCCACTACTCGTGCTCTCTCTCTCAAATAAATAAAATCTTAAAAAAATAGAATAAAATAAAATTTACTTTTTTCTTGATAAGCTATAAGGTTGATATTTTTTTCATGTGTTTTGGCAATCTGAATTAGACTCTTATTTAGGCTCTTATTGACCTGTGGGAATTTCTTTACATAGATAAATATATAATAGGTTTAAATATGTGCATATAAGTATTTAAATATATTAACACTGTATAACTTATATGTACATATATAAATTAGAAATGTTAAGTCTTGGGGCACCTGGGTGGCTCAGTCATTAGGCGTCTGCCTTCGGCTCAGGTCATGATCCCAGGGTCCTGGGATCAAGTCCCGCATCGGGCTCCCTGCTCCGTGGGAAGCCTGCTTCTCCCTTTCCCACCACCCCCCGCTTGTGTTCCCTCTCTCGTTGTCTCTCTCTATCAAAATAAATAAATAAAATCTTAAAAAAAAAATGTTAAGTCTTTATTTTATATATATATATATATATATATGCACAGCAAGTACTTTTTCATAATTTGTCACTTGTCTTTTAATTTTATTTACAGTATCTCTTACTACCCAGAAGTTTTAGAGTTTTAATATTCTCAAATCAGCCAACCTTTTCCTTTTGGGTTCGGGGTTTTGGGTCTTGCTTTAGAAGAATTTTCCTACCCCAAGATTATAATATCCTCCTGTAAGATTTCTTGAACACTTTTTTTAATGTCTATAATTTGTCAGGATTTAATTTTTTTTTTATGGTGTGAGGAAGGGATATCTTTTTTCCAATTAGAAATTAGCCAATCTAAATAATCTTTAGAAACCTAGATGTGGAATTAATTATTCAGACAGACTTTATGTCTAACTCATCAGTGCCTGGTATGGTCCTGGCAATTTGATTTACGTCACCTGCTTTTGTAACCACAGCCCTCTAAGATAGTAAGACCCTATTTTAAAGGGTCTTAATGAAGATGAAGAAATTGAGGCCCAGAGGGAGGCAGTGCCTGGATCAGGCTCATATGGGGAGTTCATGGCAGGAGAAGGAAAGGTCTACGGGGGCAGAGCAGCTGAATGACTCTCGGGATAGAGCCTGACCTGGGTGGGGAGCCTCAGTCTCACCTCCAGGCAAGGACCAGGGTGCAGTCAGCCAGGATGCACATCTTGGCCAGCTCCTTGAGGGCCTGCTGAGGATCTTTCTGGATGGAAAAGAAAATCAGAATGAGAAATCTGGTAGAAAGCAAGGGATTATAGTCTTGAAAACACAGTAGGTTAGGATGCCAAGAACCTTCCACTCGACTGACACTTCCTAAGCTCTGACTGGGTGCCCACCTGTGCTGGGCAATGCCGGGACCCCACAGTAACCAAGACAGCCCAGGCTCCGCCTGCTGGGGCTCACAGTCTGATGAGGTAGATAAAACTGTCCCCGTACAGTGATGAGCCAGAGTGACCAGGACTGGGATGGGAGAGCAGGAGCAGGTGACCTGCCTAGGGGATCAGAGAGAGCTTCCTGGAGGAAAGGACATTTGAGCTGAGACCTGAAGGAGGATGAGGAGGGGCGAAGGAGGCAAAGGAGAGCAAAAACAGAATTCCAGACATAGGGAACAACTTGTCCAAAGGATGGGAGGGGAAAGAGGGCTTGAGGAATTGTGATTCACAGAGTACGTGATGGAGGATATAAAGGGGTGACCACACAGAAGCTTAGAAATGACCCCAGGGTAAATCCAAATCAAAACCTCAATGAGGGCGCCTGGGTGGCTCAGTTGGTTGACTGCCTTCGGCTCAGGTCATGATCCTGGAGTCCCTGGATGGAGTCCCGTATCGGGCTCCCTGCTCGGCAGGGAGTCTGCTTCTCCCTCTGACCCTCCCCCCTCTCATGTGCTCTCT